TGTCCTCTCCAGATCCAAATTGGCCTCCGGGTCTTCATCCTGTTGCTTTCCGTTCCGCTTCCAGACTCTGTGCACATCGAGGACATGGCGGCTGTGCAACGCCTCCGGGACGTGCTTCACGAAGCGTTGCTGGAGTATGAGGCGTCACGACGCCCCGAGGAGCCTCGCCGGGCCGGTCGCCTTTTGCTCACCCTTCCTCTCTTGCGCCAAACCGCCACCCGGGTCCTGCACCACTTCTACAGCCTGAAACTGGAGGGCAAAATCCCCATGCATAAGTTGTTCCTGGAGATGTTGGAAGCCATGATGGACTGAAGGAAAGAGGCTAGGAATTGGGGGCAGGATTCAGGAGGGGGGAGCTGAGGCATCCAGGACGGGGATGAGAAGCCCGAGACGGGGACGAGAAGCAGCGGGGGCCTGGATGCGGCTGTCCCCACCCTCTGAATCCCGCCACGGCTGTCACGCGATAACCTGCATTTTCACCGTATGCAAACCTTGTGGTCGCCCCATGGCTTCGTGCAGTGGAGAACACGGTGGAAAAGAAGATGGGATTGGTGCATGGGGCCGCTCGGGCGGAGAGAGGGAGGAACGTTTTTGGAAGCCATACTTTAATTTTAATTTATTGATAGGGAAACGGGGGTGGGGGGGAGAGATTAGATGCTGTAGCGCTAGCAATCACATTGGCTTCGTGTTGTGTGAAAGGGATGGAGGGAAGGAGGGCTCTTGATCTTGGCTGGGGAGGGAATCAGAGCTGTCCCATCCCGGAAACGACCAGCACAGGGTTGGGATGGAGAATCCAAGCCGAACTTCCCTTGGTTTGTTTTTGGGACAGTTTCTTTCCTGCTGCCTAACTTTTCTTCCTAATGCCTCCTTGTTCACCCTTGGGCTGGGTCAGTGTTTCTCAACCTTGGCAGCTTTAAGATGAGTGGACTTCACTTCCCAGAATTCCCCAGCCAGCCATTAGGAAGAACTCTGGGAATTGAAGTCCACTCATCTTAAAGCTGCCAAAGTTGAGAAACACTGGGCTGGGTCCTGATCCAATGCACCTTAATACATTATCAGAAGTCATTCAATGGCTCCAGGAATTTGGGATGCAGAGAATGGGGGAAAGGGGACAGGACCCCGACTCGTTTTGCCTTTTCAATGCCATGCTGTCTTCACGCAATCTCAGGGGAGGGACGGTCCTCTGCGTTTCTCTCCCCCCCCCCAAGATCTGCCTCCTTTCCTCCTTCCCAGAATGTTGCATTATCACTTTTAAGCAATAACTTAAAAAAAAAAATGGGGTGGGGAGAGTTGGGGTCCCCAAGGGGGCTGCCTCTTTTGCATGTAACCTGCCTTAAAACCCGGGGAAGAGGTGGGCTGCAGTGAGGGAACAAGCCCCCCTACCCCCGAGATGAAAAAAGGCAGGGCCTTTCATTCTCCATCCTCCACTTAATTCCCACGTAGCAATAGTTAAAAAAAAGGCAATTTTGCTTTTCTTTTCAGGTGTAATGCCCTGTCTCCCCCTCGCCATAGCAGACCGAGCAGGTGATCTCTCCTCTTCCCCACCTCAAGCCAAACCCAACTTCTGCCCAAAGCAATAAACACCTTTTCCTCTCAATTCTCTTCCTTCCCGCAAAATTTAGGAAGGGAGGCCACGTGGCCTGAACAGGAGAGCCGTGTACATAGCAATATATTTTACTGTATATTTGTTGCAGGAAAAAAAAAATGTTACCCCATCTCTGGCTCACTTGTCCCTTCCCCAAAGGGGCAGGGTGACCTTCTCCCTTGCCGGGGGGGGGGGCAGGCAGGGAATAAAGGAAGGGGGGAAAACGACGCTGGATTTTTTTTTTAAATTAAATTATGTGTGTGTACATATTATAAATACCTCTGATTTGTGTATAGGCGGTTATACATTCATAGAGAGCTCTATTACTGAAAAAATTAAAACGAGGCCGATGCAGCCTAAGGCAACGTTTAGCGTCCGTCTCTGTTGTACGGCAGCGTCTTCTTTCGGGCCTATGGATTGGAAGCGTCTGCCAGCCCGGGAAGCAGGAGACCCAACCCAATTATTTTATTATTTATGTATTAGCTCCATTTCCGTGGCCGTCCATCTTGAGGTCACGATTTCCGAGCAGCAACGAAAACCGCATAAAAGTAACGAAACGATCTATCTTAGAAGTATCCAAGAGGAAGTCCTACAGAATTCCAAGCCAAGCTTGGATTCCTTAATTCAAGAGCATCTCTATCCCACTTTTTCAAATAATTTTAAGGGTCCTACTAAAATGAAATGAGAGGGGAGCTCTACACTCCGCTAAGCCTTTTTTGGAAAGCAGACCTAGTTGGGGCTTTGGAATGGTATGTACTTGCTCAGAATAAGAACAAAGGTTTGCTTTAAGATATAGGAGAGTAACAAAGGAGTGCCAGGTGGCAGCATTTTGCAACAGTACCCACAAATGGCTGTTCAGTTTCCTAACAGATCTACTCTACGCCAATCCTAGGACTCTGTCAACAGCATCATTCGTATTTATTTACACACACAAAACAATAATGCAAAGGCAGTTGCAGGGAAGATATTTCTCCTCCTCCACCTCTCACTTCTTCGGGCGCTTTTTCAAGAGCAGAACAGCTCATGTTTCGTCTTCACTCAGCAGCATGTTGGGTATACCCTTAGTGATGGGAAATTCCCGCCCTGTATCCGGACATTTCAATACACCTTCTATCACCTCCACCTATCAAAGAAGAAAGGGAATCAGCCGGGAAAGAGAGAGAGCCGCGTTTAGGGTTGGAAAGGAGGAGGAGGAGGAGGACGGGGAAGAACACTAAGCTGCTTTTTCGGAAAAGCATTTTCCTGACTTCGCTGGGCGCGTTCCATGAATTAAGGGAGAAAGAAGGAGAGCTTCAAACCTCCATCAAGACGTGATGCACTTTCCGAAGAAAATCTTCATTTTTCTCGTAGTCGGGGATGGGCTCTGAGGGAAGATCTGACCGGTGACCCAACTGCAAAAGGAAGATCAGGTGTCATTTTCACAAGTGAGTCAGGGGCAGATATATCCCTCATCTACCATAATGCTGTAGGTGTCTCCTACAAATAAGTTTCAAAGTGACTTCTCTAGAGGTGGCCCAAGACAAGATCCCAAACTCAGCCCCTCCCCACATCCTGTCGACAATTCTGTCCTTGCTTTTATTTTCTCTTTCAGCTTCCTCTGAACATTCTTGGCTACCTGCCCAGTTTGTCTTCATCAGTCACATTACGGTCATTTCAAGACTTGGCTTCCTTCTCCTTCCCATCAGTTTTAGGTCTCTGCTAAGAGCGATCTGTCCTCACAGCAGCCAAACTGGGGGGAGGAAGAAGAACAGACAAGGAGAATGAAGATAACCCCCATCTGCATTTGGCTTTGCTGTTGATGATCTCCCACCAATTTTTCTGGGGGAAAATACTGCCCTCAACCCAAAGCAGTACTGGTTCCCTGTAACTAATATCTAATGCCTGCTCTAGTCACCTTTTGTGACATACATTTTGTTAAAAGGCATCAGCTTGCATGAGCTGCAGCTTCACCCATCTGACGACGTGAGTGTAGTTTACAAAAGCTGATGCCTTTTAATAAAATGTGTTGGTCAGTAAAGGTGCTCCCAGACTCCTCCCGAGTTTTGGCTACCGGAGTAACATGGCTCTCCTCCTATAATGTCTGTTCTAGTATGTTCCTTATGTGTTAGACTGATATCCTGCCTTTCCTCCCTGAGTTCAGGGTAGTATACACAGTACTCCTTCCTCCTATTTTTCTCTGCAACAACCCTGAGATGTAGGTTGGGCTGAAAGACGGTGACTGGCACACAGTCTCCCTGTGAGCTTCCATGGCTGAGGTGGACTGAAAGCCAGATCTTCCTGGTCCTCCTCCAGCCTAAGCCTATAGGATTTGGGCAGCAGAGGAAGTTTACACCTTAAGCACTTCATTCTTGTACAGGTAGGTCGCGATTTGTGTGAGTTCGAGTGGTATGGAATTCTATTTAGTGCAATTTTTGTAAACTGATACCAATTTTTAAAATATGTTTAAAAAATTTAATTGCCTATTTCCATCCAGCTGGAACCCATTACCCTATTTTCCATAGAAATATCCCATTGAATAGTGCAAATTCGAATCATGCGACTGTTCTGTGGGATTCATTAACCACATTAATCGAGACCTACCTGTTTTCAAGTACAGGTTTGTTGACACATTCCTAAATCAGTCTTTTTGACTGCAGCAGGACAGAAATGCAATAAATAAATTTTACCACCACAGTTCTCTGGGCAACTTGCAAGAAAGGAAATATAAGTACAGGCACACGTTCAAAAATGCAAGGCATGATTAATAACAACCAGCTGATTAGAAGAAGGAAGAGGTCGATCACTGGTTCTCTGTCCTGCCTTTCTCCCTCTGCATCCCGGCACCAGCCGAGGACTTACACTTTCTGCGGCCTCCACCAGAGCTGCCCATTCAATTTTGGGCACCATCCGAGCGGTGAACTCTGGGTTGAAATCGATGTTGTTCACCTTCACCTCTGTAGCCTGTGGGCAGAAAAGAAAGAAAGGTCACACATTTCTTCCCCTGTTCCCCCAGGAAACGCTTAACCCGAATTACGACGACTATGGGGCACCCCTCAGGCCCAGTCAAGCAGGCTGCCATCATCATTATTATTATTATTATTATTATTATTATTATTATTATTATTATTTTGACTATCTCTGCCCATCTCCCCCTAATGAGGGACTCTGGGTGGCTCACATAATACAGCTTAACAATTACAAATTACAAGCCTATTCTAATTATAATTAGTGCAGCCCTACTCTTCCCATTCCTCCCAGGCAAAATGATCAACAGCCAGGCTGAGGATGATGGGACATGTGCAGCTCATTCACGAGAGGCTCCAACGGGGGGGAGGGATGTTGCAGAGCAGCCCAGTTTTGTCTCCCTCTGCTGCCATCTCGTGCCCATCCGGATTTTTAAGTCTAATCTACCTAAAGGATGGGGCGGCTGGGGATGATGGGAGTTGTAATGCAGCACAGCTGGAGGATGCAGAGCTGGGGGAGCTTAGCTGGGGGGTGGGAGTTGGAGTCCAGCCCCTAACAGGGGTAGGACTGGGGAGGCCGGCCTGAAGCGATGGGCTATGTAGTCCAGCCTAACTGGAGGCATGGGTTGGGGAAACCGCCTGGGCAGGCTTACCATCCTCCTTACCTTGATGAGAAGGGGAAACCCTCCTCCGGGTCGCACGCCCCGCACGTGGGACGTGAGCATGTTGTGGGTCAGGAGTTTCATGTTTTCGGCCCACGATCGCGCAGGACGCAGACTGTGAGCACCCGGATATCCATTCCGGCCATCTTCCGGTTGAGGGGGAAAAAACCCGCCGGCTTCTTCCTCCCACTTCCGGCGACCTTGTGCAACGGCCACTTCGGCCCCGCGGGAAACGCGCCCCGCACGCGAGACCGTTCCGGGCGCTTTGGGGTCCGCGGCCACGTGCAGGCGGTGGGGAGGGCGTGGGCGCGAGGCGCGTTGGCACAGCCCGGCGGGTTTTGCCAAGGGCGGGAGGATTGGCAGGCCGTGCATGGGGCACCAGCGCTGGCGTCGCTGTGATATAAGTCGCACTTTGCAGCCCTGAGGCCGCCTTGGCCCCACAGAACCCCGACGGACGCCGAAAGAAGTGGCGAAGTCGGCGCGCGCGCGCCCGGGGACCCCAAACCTCTGGCTCCCTTTTTGCCCCAGCCAGTTGCGTCATCACAAGGCTGTCCTGCAGCGCGTGCGGCACGGCGCCTCGGGGCAACAGCCGTGTCACTGGTTCACAAAAGTGCACAGAAGCGCCTG